CTGTGCCTATCCCAACACAGGAGATTGTTTATATACACCTTGCTTTCCTGAGGTTATTGGTCCTGAGGACACCAGGTGATTGGTGATTTCAATCTTATATTTATTAATCATCTTTTGCTCTCCACTAAACAAAAGTACGTAAGTTGAGTAAGGTTGTGGAAGTCTTCATTATAAGGAGTATTTTGTTTTATTTTTTTTGTGAGGAGATCAGCCCTGTGTTAACATCTGCCAATCCTCCTCTTTTTTTGCTGAGGAAGACTGGCCCTGGGCTAACATCCGTGCCCATCTTCCTCTACTTTATATGGGACGCCGGCACAGCATGGCTTGCCAAGCGGTGCGTAGGTATGTGCCGAGGATCCAAACCAGCGAACCCCGGGCTCCCACAGCAGAGCACACGCACTTAACCGCTTGCGCCACCTGGCCGGCCCAGGAGTATTTTTTTAATAGTGTGCCATTCTCTTACCTCTTCTTTTCATTCCCCAAATTTATTTTTTCTAATAATCACATTTATAAGACATAATCGTCTTACCTCCCCATTTTTAGAGCATGATGTGGTTTAAAACTTTAAATGAAAAAGGTGGAATTATTTCCATCGATTGCTTAAGTATTTGTATCTCATTGTCACTGAGGTGTTATTCCTAAATTCTCTGCTGACCTACTAGCATTTGAAATTCAATGCATAATAAGTTGTACAAAGCACTTAAATTGGAAAGCAAAAATACATATACCTTATTTTTTATGTCCTAAAAGACGGTTTTCTTTTTATTTTATTTTTTTATTACTATCCTCTTTTGCCTGGATATTCTTACATTCAACTCAAAAATATATGGTGAATATAATCCGTGGATAAATTCTATGCTGAATGTTGTGGGGACAAAGGTATCAGTAAGACTTCAGTCAGATTTCTCTTCAATATGCTGTGTATGTGTGGAAGACAAAAAAAGCAGGAATTGCATCCAGGGAGTTTCAATACTATTGATAATATTCTTTGTCTTATATTTAAAGAGTTGGTTGAGGAATCTTGAGATTTTTAAATCTATATCTACCTCTTTTTAATTTTCTGTTTCAAACAATTTATATAATTTCAAAGAGTAAAGAAAAAAAAGAGTCTAAATAAAACCATGCAAGTAGGAGAAAGTTGTGTGTTCTTATAATTATTGAGAGAAGCAAGCATAAAAGAGCCAAGCAGTCAAGTATAACTGACTACACTAAAAAGTTAAGTGTGCAAGGAGAGAGGAGTGTGTTGTAGATTAGACCATTGAATTGCAAGCTGATAAAAAAATTAATTTGGAAAGCAAATGGTTGGCCATTTAAAGGTAAGCAATAAAATGCTGTGATTGAAATGTCATTTTATTTTCGTGCCAAGACCGATATCCTTTGGTGTTACAACTACAAAATTATTTTGATCTTTCCAAAGAACAACAAAAAAAATACACTAAACAGATGTTAGACTTTTCTTCTCACCTGCATAGGGTGCCTTCAGATCTTAAATCTCATAATACAGCATGAAATTGAGTGATGTAGACAACCAATTGATCAAATTAATTACAGTGTTTTTACCAAACCCTACCACTTGCAGCCCACCTACTTGGCTGTGGGATTAGTAGTTTCTTTTCCAGGTCCCACTAAAATTACAAACAGACTATGAACCAGACCACATCAGATTACAACAAAAACTCTCTTTCCTAGTTCATCCATCAATAATCTTCTATCCCAAATATCTCTCAGATAATACTCTGTGTCCTCTATACCACATTCTTCCTCTATGATCCACTTTCATATCAGCTTTGGCATCCACTTCTTCCCAGAAGTCCCTACTTTTCTTTCAATAACATATATTATCTGGATTACCACAGTGTCTCCTAATTTCTCTTCCTGACTCCATATTTACCCATTCCAATCTATTCTCCACATTATCATCACCAGATTGCCACTAATACACACTTGAAAATGTCGTTATCATCATCATTATAATGAAACTATCTGCTATATAAGTAGAATCTATGTGCTGTGCTCTGTTTTACGTTTTTTTAATATATATTTACTCATTTTTTCATCATAATAAGCTTTGTGTTAAGTACTATTATGAGATCCATTTTAAAGATGAAGAAAGTGAGAAATATACACATATATAAATAAATTATATACATATATAAATTGTATAATATATATATTCCACTGAAATATAGAGTAGATCTATGTGATAACATTAAATAAAATAAATAATAATTAAAATCTTTCCAACAAAGAGATTCAAAATAGCGTTTTCTCTTTCAGTAATATGAGGTGAGGTGTGGAACTGTTGAAAGCATCAAGAAGCTGTTACTTCAATGGTTTTCAGACATTTTTTGAGATTATTTTATATGTCTACAGGGTAAATTCCCACATATTTAACTTCTTTATCCTTTGAATTTTTATCCTTTGAAGCTATCACTTGGTGCCAAGTCATATGGATAAGCTAAGTAATTTATCACTTTAGGTGTTATGAGGACTAGGTCAAACAATGAAATCATGTTTAATTATAATGGAATCTCTCTGTCTTCCTCCTCTTCCTTCTTCTTCTCCTCCCCACCCTGTGTTCTAAAACATAAATGAGTTTTGACCATAATTAAGATGATATTAATTAAAGCAAATGACCTTTGGGCACTAAAGGACTTTTTATTTTTTCATCTAGTATAGCAGAATAAACTCTAGAGCCATTCAGACTATGTTCAAGTCCAGATTCTGACAATTACCAGTTGTGTAACTATGATCAAGTTACTCAATATTTTTGATTTTCACTTTGCTCATTTGCTAAACTGGGATATTACACTTAGAGACTTTGCAAAGACTAAATAAGAGTCTTGAATATAAGGCATACTTTACAATGCCTGGTCATCTTAGGCAGTCATAAAATGATTTAGCTCCACTGAAGTCAGAAGTAGAGACCACATGCTCTCTGAGCGGAATTTATAGTTACACAGGAATTGTCACTGGGAATCAATTCTTCCCTCAAGAAAAAAGCAAAAGCTTACAGACAGTTTTTTCTTTTTCCTTTTTAAAGAGAGTCTTTTGATATATCAAATAAAACCAGGGAGAGATGAGATATAGTAGTTATCAGAATAACTAGGACCCACTGTGGGCCTGTTAAATTCAAAGGGGTAAAGACATGTTGTTATGAAAATATAATTCTGAGTTATTCAAGTGCTTTGAATCAAATATGTACAATCTCTTACTATTTCTTTGAGGATCACAAACCCGAAGCAAGGAACACACTCACAGGTTGCCTATTGAAAATTGATATGGCATTCAAAGTCTGCTTTAGAGCTATCTCATTGCTTTCTCATCTCTTGTGCCTTCTTGAATGCATACCTCTGATTTTCCTGATTTTAACCTCGCCAAAAGTAGCATTACTACCTCCTCCAGCATTGGCCTTGCCTTCCCATTTACTCAAGTTTGGATGTTTCCTTATGTCTTCTGTTACTGAATTATTTTATTCTGCAATTCTCAATGAGATGTCAGTAACTGATGGCATATTTCCAGTTTATGAGGCTTAGAAATTGCAATCACCACATCTGAATTATTGTTTTTATTGCAGAAGAGTTTTAATATGTCTTAGATTTACCCTATATAAAAAACATGACTTCTCTGCATGACAAAAGAAATGACGAACAAAATGAAAAAGCCATCTATGAAACAGGAGAAAATATTTGCAATCCACATATCTGATAAGGAGTTAATATTCAAAATATATAAGGAACTCATACAACTCAACAGCAAAAAAACAAATAATCCAATCAAGAAATGGGCAAAGGATCTGAATAGACATTTTTTGAAAAAAGATAATCAAATGGCCAACATGAAAAAGTGCTCAATATCACTAATCATCACGGAAATGCAAATAAAAACCACAATGAGACATTACCTCAAGAAATTAAAAATAAAACCCCAGTTTCAAAGAGATATCTGTACCTCCATGGTCATTGCAGCCTTATCTACAATAGCCAAGACATGGGAATAACCTAAGTGTCCATTGATAGATGAATGGATAAAGAAAATATGGTGTATATATATATATATACAATGGAATATTAAAAAAAAGAAGGAAATTCTGCCATTTGTGACAACACAGATTAACGTTGAGGGTATTATGCTAAGCGAAATGAGTCAGATAAAGAAAGACAAATATTGTATGATTTCACTTATATGTGGAATCTAAAAAAAAAGAACTCATAGGAACAAAACAGAGTGGTGGCTGCCAGAGTTGGGGGTGGAGGATGGGGGTAATGGGTAAAGGTTGTCAGAAGGTACAAACTTCCGGTTATAAGATAAATAAGTCCTGAGGATATAATGTTCAGCATTGTGACCACAGTTAGCAATATTGTATTATGTATTTGAAAGTTGCTGAGAAAGGAGATCTTAAAATTTCTTGTCACAAGAGAAAAAATTGTAACTCTATGAGGTGATGGACGTTAACTAAACTTAGTGTGGTAATCATTTCACATTTATACAGAGACCAAATCATTATATTGCACATCTTAAACTTATACAATGTTATATATCAATTATATCTCAATAAAACTGGAAAAAACAAAGACATTAAAAAAAGAAAACATGACTTCATCAAAAGATTAGGTAAATTCTGCCAGAATGTTTAATGATTTTTTTCTGAGTTGCAATCACTGAGTGGATTTAATTTTTTATATCTGTCTTAATTTTCAATTAAGATGCATTACTAGATCAAAGACAAATATAGAGAATTGAAGAGACAATATTACTTTTAAGATGTTTCTGGGTCTCATTGATTTTTTTTTGAGACAGTGAATATAAATGATACAAACAGGAAGAACAACTTCTTTGGTGACTCAGACCATTACCTCATTGATGAGAATGTCACCACAGTCAAGGCAACAATTATGCTCTTTCAGTTGCAGAACGATATTTTCTCATATAATGCCTTTTAAATTGTCAGGACTCCAAGTTGCATTTTGGAAATATTCACATTAATAAAAAAGAGAGAGTTCAGATGAGAATAATGTGAAGGTAAAGCATTCGATTTGTCTCTAATGAAATTTTACTCATCACCTGTCAAGGCACGTCATTTCAAATTGGAGCTTTTGGTAAAAAATTTGAGTTAAAAATTTGAATCAAATATGTACAATCTCTCACTATTTCCTTGAAGATTTTCACCTCAATCGTCATTTCTAACTTTGCAATTTTTCAATCTGTAATCGTTAGTGCATGAATGTGCTCAGTAGTGGGAAATTTATTTACTCACTGAAAACCAACACTGATTGACCTGTATCTTCAATTATTATGCATATCTTTCTATAGACAATAGTTCAAAATATTTGTATAAAAGGGGTTGATAAAAAATATACCTCCAAATGGTGAAGTCTTTTCACCATACCTGAGATGAATTTAGGGAAAGCAGAAACTTTTCATTAGACTGTTGGTAGCAGAGACGACCAGTCACCTATCCAACCTGCAGTCTTTCTTTCCTCTTTTCTAACAGAAGCCCTATACTATTCAGGGTGACACTGAACCCAGTTAATGGCTATGTTTTCTAATATCCATCCCAACTGACACAGATCATGTGACTAGTTTACTAAGTTCAAGCCAGCATTTATGGGATAGACTTTCATGAAGGATATAGGAATGGAGACAAGTACTACAATTTTTATCTTCCCATGTTTGTTATCCTTTATTTCTAATAAGCCCACATGACAGCAGGAACTCCAGAAACCTTGTTATAATCTGAAATGATTCTGTGAATAAACATTATGTGGTATTACATGGAGCATCAAATGAAAAATAAACAAAACTATGTCTTAATCTTCTTGGCATTATAATAGCTTAGGACTGCCAATATCCTTTTTTTTTTTTTTTTTTTTACTTAAGAGAAAACAAAGCTTTTCGTGGTTTATGTCACTAAAATTGGGGTTTTCAGATTTAAAAAAACAAATCTAATCCTAATGGAAGTATTACCCATGGAAGGTAGAATTCTAAAGATGTTCCTCCAAGATTCTGGTCCTCTGCTTATTTAAATACTAATTTGGTATTGTTCAAAGGCAATTTGTAGATTTATTTAAGGTTACAGTTCTTAAAATAGGAAGATTATGTTGGATTATCTGAGTGGCCCCACTATAATCACTTGAATCTTAAAAGCAGAGAAATTTCTACAGTTCTTGTGAGAGAAATGCAACAAAATAGAAAGGCAAAAGAGATGAGGCAGAAGGGGAGGTTAGAGAGAGTTGAACCGTGAGGAGTGAACCATCCATTTCTGGTTTTAAAGATGGAGGAAGGAAGCCATGAGGCAGGGAATACAAATGGCTTCAAGAAATTATGGAAAACAGTATGGAGATTTCTCAAAAAATTAGAAATAGAAATAACGTATGATTCAGCTACTCCACTTCTGGGTATTTATTCAAAGAACATGAAATTCAAAAAGATATATACATCCCTATGTTCACTGCAGCATTATTCACAATAGCCAAGATTTGGAAGAAACCCAAGTGCCCATCAACAGATGAATGGATAAAGAAGTGTGATATGTATATATATATATCAGATGGAGAAAGACAATTACCATATGACTTCACTCATATGTGGAAGATAAACAAACACGTAGATACAGAGAACAGATTGGTGGTTACCAGAGGACAAGAGGGCAGGGGAAGGGCAAAAGAGGTAAAAGAGCACATATGTATGGTGACAGATGGCACTAGACTTTTGGTGGTGACACAATGCAATCTATACAGAAGTCATAATATAATGATGTACACCTGAAATTTATATAATGTTACAAACCAATGTGACCTCAATAAAAAAAGAAAGAGAGATAGGCCCGGCGGCATAGTGGTTAAGTTTGTGTGCTCTGGCTGGGCAGCTCAGGGTTTGCAGGTTCGGATCCCAGGTGCTGACCGACGCACTGCTTATCAAGCCATGCTGTGGCAGCGTCCCATATAAAGTAGAGGAAGATGGGCACAGATGTTAGCCTAGTGGCAATCTTCCTCAGCAAAAAGAGGAGGCTTGGCAACAGATGTTAACTCAGGGTTAATCTTCCTCATACACAAAAAAAAGAAAGAAAGAAAGAAATTGGGAACTATGCCCGGCTGATGATCATCCAGGAAACATCCTGGATCTTGTGAAACTGAATACTATCAACCATCCTGAATGAGACTGGAAGTAAATTCTCCCCCAAGAGCCTCTATTAATAAATATAGAAGCCCTACAGACACTGTGATTTCGGCTTTGTGATATCCTAAGAGCCTGCTGGACATTTTATGAGCCCAGCTGAGCCAATCTGGACTTCTGATTTACAGAACTGTTAAATAATAAATTTGGTTAGCATTACACTGCTAAATTTCTGGTAACTTGCTATGACAACAGTGCATGGGGAAATATTTTAAAAGATGTTCAAACTGAGAAATCAAATAAATCCTTTTATATAAACACATAAACTGATTCTCCCCAAAATGGAGATATTTAAAATGTAATATATACTCTTAGTGAGATTCCAGAAAGCACTAAATATAAGAAAAGGGAGCAAAATGTTAGAAAAAAGATGCTATGAAACTTCTGGTTTCCAGTAAATGTGAGCAAGGTTATTCAGAAAAACCTCTCTAATAAAAATGTAAAAATGTTTGATAAAGTATTTATTCTTAATATGTTCTTTTGAAAGAAGGTGAAAAGATATTAGGCAAATAACTAGCCAGTAATGAAGGGAAAATAGGAACCCACAGAGTTAAATGAAGCATTTACTACTTTTGCTTTGAGGGCCTTTGCCATTCCTAGCAATTTTAAATTTTAAATTTATGATGATGGCCTCATCAATGCAAGGGGATTAGAAAACACAGTATAGGGCCCTTGAAGGTGTGGGAATCTAATAAAGCACTCTCTTTAAAAATTGAGATGAGAAAGTAAAGTTCTACAAACTCAAGGGTGGATAGATCAGATGCAAAACAGCTGTTTTGAGGAATTTTTACCTGATAGTCACATCAGCAGCATGGCCCATGTTACCTCAAAATTTGAATTTAGATTCAAGGAATCTTAATTGTTTTAGAGGAGCAGATGCAAATATTCTCTAAATGAAAGTGTATATATGCTAGGTCTCATTATTTCTAAAAATAATATTTCAAGTATAATAACTAGTATATTGTCAAAGATAATGAGACATACAAGAATGTAAGTTAAAATGAAAGACAACCATCACAAAAGCAAACAGACTTATAAAACTTCTGGTAGTATTCAACATAGACTGTAAAACAATTAGAATTACTAGGCTTAATAAAATAAAGACCAAGTTTTAAATGTATATTTTTAGGGAATAGGAAACTATCAACAATGACACAAAATATTTGGAATATTTCTAGAAATAAAACACATAATAACAGAAATTATAAGCTGAGTTTATATGTTTAACAGCAGATTAGATACAGCTAAAGAGAGTGTTAGTGAAACAGAAGATAAAAAATTACCTGGAATATAAGGTCATGTGCTGCGTAACGACATTTTAACCAATGACAGACTGCATATGTGATGATAGTCCCATAAGATTAGTACCATATTACAGAATTTTAATAGGTTATACCACCTAGGTTTGTGTAAGTACTGTAGGGGAGGAAGAAATTTTTCTCAACCCTTCTAGGTTCTTCTGGCTGGTATAAGAATTAAATTGACATGACACAGATTAACAGGAGAAAAACAAATAAAAGTTTAATACCATGTATACATGGGAGAAACCCAGGAAAACCAAATAACTTGCCAAAACGGCTGAAGCCCTCACTTTAAATCCCATCCTCAGCTAAAGAAAAAGAAGATGGTGGAGAGTGGGGAGAGTCAGGGTCTTCAAAGGGAAAGAAGGCAATTTACAAGTATGTGAAAAGGAGCAAATGTTTGAAAAACAAGCGTTTGACAACACAGAGGGGGACCCAACAAACAAGCTTTTCTAGGTTCCTCCCTGTCTACCACCTAGTTCATGTTATGCTAAGGTGATAACTCACTTCCTGAGGACAGGTTCTTTTATCTAAATTCTTTTAGGCAGTTTTGGGGGAGGTAACAAGGAAAACTTTCTGAGTCTTTTGTTTCTTAAAAGTAATCAACCTAAAATAATCCTCGTATTAAAGAGACACATTTTGGTGTGGGAAATTTTGTTCCCCTTCAGTACACTCTATGATGTTTGCACAATGACAAAATCGTTCAACGATGCATTTCTCAGAATGTTTTCCAACGTTAAGCCAGGTGTGGCTGTAGTAAGGAGAAACTAGATGGAAGATGAAGAATAGAGGGCAAGAGATATAAAAGGCAGAATGAATATATATATATGTAGATATATATATATATTTTTTTCTGGTGAGGAAGATTAGGCCTGAGCTAACGTCCGTTGCCAATCCTCCTCTTTTTGCTGAGGAAGATAGGTACTGAGCTAAAATCTGTGCCCATCTTCCTCTATTTTATATGTGGGACACCTGCCACAGCATGGCTTGATTAGCCATGTGCAGTAGGTCTGTGCCTGGGATCCAAACCTGCAAACTCTGGGCTGCCCAAGCAAAGCAAGCAAACTTATCCACTATGCCACTGGGCCAGCCCCTGAATTTATTTATTTATTTGTGAGAAAGATTGGTACTGAGCTAACATCTGTGCCCATCATCCTCTATTTTATATGTGGGACGCCTGCCAAAGCATGGCTTGATGAGCGGTGTGTAGGTCAGCGCCCAGGATCCGAACCTGAGAACCCCGGGCCATTGAAGCAGAGCACGCGAATCTAACCACTATACCACCTGGCCGGCCTGTGAATATATTTATTTTTAAACTAATTGAAATCCCAAGATGAAACAGAAGATATTAATGGGTGAGCAGCAACATATGGAGATATACTGGCTGAGTTTTTAAATGATGAAAGACATCCATTCAGATTAATGTAAAACAGGATAACTGCAAAAGATTATAGTGAAACTCCAGAAAACTGAAGAATATGAGAAAATTTTAAAGTACTCAGAAGTGGAAGAAAAGACAGATAAAAAAGACTGGC